AGTCTTTTATGTATCATATGACTTCAACAATATAGGCATATGAGTAACTAACAGAAATCTCTTTGAATGAGGAGTCAAATGGAATGAATTTTGGAGAAAATTATTAAGTGATTGATTTATAATTGATTTTAAAATACTACTAAAGTAATATTTTTGCCTAAGGACAAAATAATTTGAAAGTTTAACTTATCTAACTAAAATGATTTTATCTAAGAAAATATATTACAAATTTAGGTTTTCAAGTATTCAATGGAAAGCTTACCAAAAGAGGAATTCAAATCTAAATACTATGCATCAAAATTCATAGTATTAAGAGAGTTATCATTTTTTCAAACCTTATGTCATTTTTGTGTATTTTTCAAGATCCACACATAGTTTGTTAAGGATCACCTAAATCCAAACATTTGGCTTAATTAGGGCCAAAAACTAAAAGGAGACATTTTGTCCAAATTAGATAGTAATAAAAATAAAGGATCTTCAAATGATGATGGATGTTTCAAAAGATGTTCTTCTTTTGCGTCACCTCTTCTCGAGTCTTGAACAATTAAAAGCAAAATTAAGTAGTTTGAAGAGAACTATGGATGTCATTTGGAGTTTAAAACACTTCATCCCATCTTAAGTACCCCAACAATTGTCGGTGCACCGAAAAAACATTTGAAGGCTATGGCAACTTCATTCTAGTGTTTGTTTATTTTTATTTTTGATTTGTAATGTATGTGATGTGTCATTAACATAATCACATGGGTCATTCAAGCTTGTGTGGCATGTCTAGAACAAAAGGATCTATAACTTCTAAGTTGAATGTTCTAGGTATAGAGGTTATAGGGTCACAAAGCCTAGAGATGTAAGCGGTTCTTGATTTCAACAAAATCAATTGTATTCTAATAGTGGAATAGTAAAATCTAAGTGGATTCCTCAAAAGTGGATGTAGGCAAAAAGAGTTTGGTCAAACTATTATAAAATCAGATGTTCAAAAATTCGTCTTGATTATCTCGTAATTATATATTAGTTTATAACTATACTTTAACATTAATATATAAAAATAAAAATATTATATTTAATTAAATAAAATATGAAAAAATTAATTCACCCCATATCCTTTTGATTTATCAAGTCATCTAACAATCAACACAAATCACCATCATTATGGCTCCAACCATAATGATGTCATAATTTGTGGGAAATTTATAGCTCACTAGATGGCTAGATAAATCAAGAGGGAAGGGGGTGAATTGATTTCTATTTTTTTAATAATTAATTATAATATTTTTCATTTTATGATATATAAATATAAGATAAATTAAGAATAATGTGAGCACTGGATTTTTATAGTTGTTTGACCAAATTCATTTGGGCTACATCCACTTTTGAGAAAATCACCTCAATTCTAGTATTCTACTATCATAATACACTTGATTTTATACAGATTAAGAACCCTTCACATCAATAAATTTCATGGGCATGTGATTACCTCACTTATAACTCTGATCTTTGCAGTCCTAGATTTTTTTCATTGCAAGCACACCACAAGTACATCACAACCTATGTGACTACAGTGATAACATACTATGAGTGTTTCAACTTATTCACATATTGCAGATCAAAAAAAAAAAACAAACAAACAACTAAAATGAAGTTACCATAATCTTCAAATTCATTTTGGTACACCATGAGTTGTTGTACTTGATCAATGTTGGGTTGAAGGAAGAAGTATTTGACACTCCAAATGATAGTCACAACACCCTTTAAGTAATTTGATTTTGTATTTGGTTCTTTGAAATTTGAGAGGAGAAATATCTTTGGAAATGGCCTTTGCTATTTAAAAATTATATATTTTCTTATTACCCTATTTGGGTGGAATGTCCCTTCCTAAGTTAAGCTAGAACACTCCCTTTTGGCCCATATTGAGTCAAATAATTGGGCTCTATAAAATATAGAAAAATGATTGTAATTTTTTTTTAAAATAACTCCCTTAATACTTTAAGTTCTGGTATGTTTTTTAGTTTTTAATTCCTCTTTAAATTAGTTTTCTATAATTAGTTGAATTTTCATGTCTATGACAGTACCTAGATATTTTTCTTCAAATTTATTTAATTTGACTCCTCATTCAAAGAACTTTCTATTAGTTACTCATATGCATGTATAAGCAAAGTTATTTGATAAAAAAAAATCAAATATTAGAACTTTCATATAAGATTATGATAGATTTACCTCATATAGACTATTTATTATATTTATATTAAAATATTCTAATATTTCTATCTATGATGAGAATTTGAAATAGTATGAGTTATTTCCCATGGTCTAGAGCATGAGAAATATATGTATTCTAATATTTAATATTTCTATACCTTAGCCTTTAGGTTGAAATTCTCTTGCATATATGTACTCATAATCTAGGCTATTTAATCTCATCCAAAATATCAATTTTTCATCTAAATTTACATTTTATATCATCAATTTCATGATTTTAAATTAATGACTAGAAGTCATCAAAATAATATTGAGTTAGTCCATAACTCAACAAAATCTATAGAGTTCTCACAAAATATACTATATGAAAACAACAATTGTCGAATATGTTAAAGTGTGTCTACTCTCACTTTAACATGGGCATATGATGGAGGTTTACTCAGAATTGAAAACATCTCCACGAAATTGTACAACATATTATTTATTTTGAAAATCAAATGCTGTTCTTTATGACTCCTCAAAAGAAAACAAAAAGGTTTACTAAGTATTGATAAATTAACGGTTTATAAGTTATTGAAGAAGAAAAATAATAAAAACATCAACCACCATCAATCATGCATAGAAAAGCACAAAACCCCACATGTCTAAATAGCTCCAATGTAACATGAAGAAGATAAACTACAACTCGTGATGAAAACTTTAATAGAAAATTATCTCCCATTTAAAGAAGTCAATGTCCTAAAATTTTCACAATAAAAAAATGGGTTAAATACGTCATAATCTTCAATTTACATCTACATCCAAAAATCAAAAGAATAAATAAATAATTGCTTGTTTATTCAGTAAAATATAATCAAAGTTGCAGAATAACGCATGTTGGGACATATTAAGAAAGTTCCAGGATAACGATCCATCCAACAGCAGAAACTTACAAGTTTAATGGCCACTTCTTCGTTTGTTTGGATATCAGTCCCTGCATAGGGGCAAGTTAGAAGTTCCTCGGAAAAATTTGAAATCTTGCGACGACACCTTGGAGAGCATAAATAGAATCAAAGCTAAGAGAAAAGAATGAAAATACAAGAAAAAAGGAACCTTTGTAAATCTTCCCAGATGATCCTCCCCCAATCTTTTTACCGAGGCGAAATTTATTGCCAACCTGCGTGTCCATGCTCACGGTAATTGGAAGTAAAATACCTCTCTGACGCCAAACCGAAGAGATCAACCTCGACCGATACCTTAAACCAAGAACAAAAGGGACACAATTCAGAGAGACTGACGGCGACGCTAATTACGACGTAAAATAATTTAGACGTATCTACAGACCAACCTGGCGCCAATATTACTCTTTCACTGCGTCGCATCAAACTCTCGCTTATAATCAACGATGAGAGGTGGATATGAACTACGATCGGGAACCGTGAGGGTTCCCGGGAGGGAAGAGGGTAACTGGTAGCAACCCTCGGAGCACAGACGAGAAAAGCTAGGCCGGTGGGAGGTCACGATAGCGGAGGATTAGGTACTCTCTCTCTCTCCGCTTAGGACAAAATATTTTATTATTTTCCTCCTTATCACCCTCATTAAATGACCAAAACGGTCCATAAGTTTCTAATAATTATACAAATACCTGGAAAGACCCCACGGATAAGATCTGTAGGCTTCCAGCGCACTCTGGACCGTATGATCCGACTTACCCCCTGATCGGATTCATCTTTCGGTTTCGCGGGTAGATTGGGGACCATCACCGAGGCCGTCGATACACCGGACCCAACCGTCGTTGATCGGCACACTAATTAATTAGATTCTCTCTCTCTCTCTCTCTCTGAAACCTCCGTGCGGTTAAAGTCGATGGACGGGGATGGCCATCTATCTTTCTGCCTTCTGACGTTGCGGAGGAAGCGTTGGAGGGGATGATGATGCGGGGAAGACGAGCCGATCTCCTCCACTGACGTTATTCAGTCAATAGCGAGGTATTCCGTCCACATTCCCTCCATTAATGAGAGTTCTTCGATTGGTCGGATCTCGTCGGCATTCCACGTAATAATGTTGCGCCGTTCAGTCCACCTGGTGATATGGTTGACACACAACTACTTTCTCGAACGGCGTTTAGGCGAGCTCATCATTTGTGAGTTCTTGCTTGTTTATGGTGACAAATCTGAACGATTCCTTCGGCTGGTGGCACGGCGCGGATGTCTGATCTTCTTTGTTGATTTAGAACTCTTAACTGTTTAGGGATAATGCAGAATGATCAGATCGAGTCGGACACGCATTGATCCAATCTTACACGTTATTGATTGCGTCATAGTTTAGACCAAGCGTGCTCGACAGATAAAGATTGCGGACTAGTCGTACGAGTGGCCGGCCCCCCGTCCCTGGCCTTCTTGATTTTCACACCAAAGAGCGTTCTATTCTTGTTTCTAGCGTGGAATTCGAGCCGAAAACATCAATTCAAGAAAGGTATCCTGATCTTCGTCGAACGGAGGTTGTATCGGTTCATAGATTTTTCTTATTCGCTCCGTTGGCGCCCAAGAAAATACAATGGGGAGTACGGAGATTATTTCCTGGTCCATTGTTCATTCAACAAGATGTGATCCTCAGGAGCCCTCTCATAACTGCCAACACAAGAGGAGCTTTTCAAAGAAAGGTAGTGGATACAGCGCCGTTGGAGATTGACAGCCGAGTTTCCCTCGAGATGCCGACGGAAGACGAGGAAAGAAGGAGGCAACAGCGACAGGAGACTCCCTTTATCGCTCCCTATCTTTCAGACTGGAAGAAGGATTTCCATCCCACAGGCCTTGTACTTTGGCGTGTCACCACTTCAACTTGGCAGGGAAGTACTGCAAGAGAGAACAATCACACAGCCACTTCAGGTTACAGACGAGGGAATGAAAGAATCAGAGGAGCGCCGTTCACAGTCAGTCAATGATTCAATGAGAACCCGCCCACCTTCTCGATGAGGGACAGGTAGTAGGGCTTCACACTCTCGACGTCGATCCTGACCTTGCTCTTGCTGTAGAGATCGTACTTGCTGAAACCACAGAGGCGGCAGTCAGAGGCTAGAGAGCGAAGAAGGGAACTTGGGGAAGAAGGCCGCGTTCAAAGGACCACTGACTTGAAAACGTGCAGCCATTTCAGGTTCTCCTTATCCTCCTCGTTCATCAGAAAGGAGTACGCTCCAGACTTGTGCAAGGCTGAGATTTTTGAATCGTGTTAGCCGGAGGACAAGGGGAGATTATGAACTGGGGTCTGACGAAGTTGATGGAGTGTGGCTCACGGTAGAAGGAGTGGTAGCGGATGATGAACAGCCCAGCCGAAGGAAGGGTCGTCTTGTTCTTCTTCGCAACCTGAGTTTCAGAACGCAGAGCATCGTCAGCCCTGGGCACACTCCAGAAAATGGAGATTCTGCCATTGATCTCCCATTTTTTTGGAGGTGGATACCGACCAAGTACATGTAGTCGTCGTGGCCCCACGACATCATCACGTTGTTGAGCCCGCAGCCCTCGGCGTACACCCCGAGCTTCGTGCTGTACTCCGGGTTGGCGCTGTCTGGATTTTCTTTGAAGTACTGAGGCCAAGATCAGACCAAGAAGCCAGCTCGTCAGGCTATCATGAAGAAGAAGAAGAAGAAGAAGAAGAAGAAGAAGAAGAAGAAGAAGAAGAAGAAGAAGAGGAGGAGGAGGAGGAAGACCTTGTAGTGAACGTTGGATTGGTCGAAGGCGCAGCCGACGGGGAAGGTGTCGCCGACGACGGCCCACTGCGGGAGCTGCCCGAAGGAGGGGTGGAGGAGGACCTTCCCCAGATCTGATTGCAGGAGATGGGTCAGTCGGATAGATGATATGGATGAATTACAGGGCTGGCCATGGATGGATGGTTGAATTCCTCTCTCTCTCTCTCTCTCTCTCTCTAACTGACCGTGGATGAGGCCGGTGAGGTGGAGCCAGTCCTCGTCGGGGTAGTCCTTGCGGATGGCCTCCGCCGTCTGCAGCAGGTGCTCGATCTGGGGCTCGTCCAGGTCCGGGTCGCTCTCGTCCACGAACTCGTTCAGCAGCTCGCAGCACTCCCACACGCTCATCTCTACCCGGTCCAGCTTCCCGTACTCCTCCCTCATCCTCTTCACCTGCCCGACGAGACAGTGCAGTTCAGATCAGATCAGATCAGATCAGGCAAGAAGGAGAGTGGGGGAGAAGGAAAAGAAGAAAGAAGCAAAAGAAAGGGTCTGATGAGTGGTGCCCACAAAGTCGAAGGTCTGGTGAGTGTGGTTCAGCCGGTAGAACTCCTCCACCGATGCCTTCCTTTGCGACTCGCCATCGTAGTCCCTGAATGTCTGCCCGAAGGAGTTGGTCACCGGCACTGCGAATCCCCCGTCCAGCACCAGCTCCCCCGCCTCCACGGGGGCCATCTTCTTCTCCTCCTCGTGAGCTGCAGAGAAAACTCTTCAGAACAGAACAGAACAGAGCAGAGCAGAACACAGCAGAAGAACACGGCCTGAGCTGATGAAGAAACCCCCTCACCGATTTGGGTCTGATCAATTGTGATCGTCATCCTCCTCCCAGCCTATGGCGGTCCTCCGGCGACGAATGAATGAGGAGGAGAACAGGGAATTGGTGGAGATCCGGGAAGAGAGGAGGGTATTTATAGGTCCTCCGAGTTAGTCACCTTCCGAGTTGGGAAACGACTGCGTCAATCGGGGAAGCGGGTGAGTAAAATGTCCGACCAGACTCAACATGGCCGGCTCACCCCTGGAGTCGATTCTCTCGGTGCAGCAGTCACATCCTCATATGGTTCCCCGGCTCACCTATTCCTCTGTCGGCGCGAGTGACTGTCGCTGAGTTGGGTTGGGGGGTAGGTATTAGAGGACAGGACCGCGATATGGGGGTCATCGTCCTATTCTTCATCCACTAGCCGCTGCCAACGGACGGCTACACTAGCACCGCGGCAAGATACGGAAGCGGCGGTGGCGGCGCTCCGCCCCAAGACAGAAATTGGTCATCAATTCGGCGTTGCTGTCGTCCGATCTGTAAACTTGTCCGTTGGCAGATAGGGAATGCGGAGTCATCATGTGTTCCATGCCAGCTCCGCGCGCCTACCGCCCCCCCTCTCACGCCGACGGAGGAGAAACCGTGGACGCAAAGAGAGCCTTTCGAGGGTACGGTCGGGCGCCATCATATAGAATTGCGATGGCTTTGGCAAGAATCCAGAATGCCCCCACTCGTCACAAACAAAAGCAACCCTCATTTTCCCTATGATGGCCTCATTTCCCTCAGAATATCAAGCAGCCCCGGAGAGTTTAGTGATCGTTCGTCAATGGTTAGTAAAGACAGCATTATCGCCAATGACAAAGATGCCCTTTAGCTGAGCATTTTAACACCATCATTTTATTTCAATGAAATGGACACCTCTGTAACTAGTGTCTCCTCTATTTGGACTACTGCACGTGAAGGTTTAATGACGTGGATGTAGGTACAGACAAAGAAAAATAATTAAAACACTGTAGATGCCATAAATAATCTCCTAAATTAAAGAAGAAGAAAAAGTTTGAAATATCTCAGAAGAGATGGCATCTACGGACGAAATAAGAAATGGATCGGGCAGCTTAGAAAAAACCGCCACACGTTGGATATTCGAATTTTAATGCGAAAAAAATCCGGCACTAACACGGGATATGCTCATCTGATAATACGCAGGTGGGTATCCTATGTTCACTATGTGACACTCACAAGAAAGAGAGTGAAGATGTAGGTTGACAGAGTGAAGATGGTTTATCTGCCAGGAAAGAGATCGCATGGAAATACTTGGGTGACGCTCGGCCTGGAGGGCAGTCGCCTGTTGGAGCCCTAACCGCGAACGAGCTCTGGAAGATAGGTAGTCGTCTGGAATTTGGATCAATCCGGAGGAAGACGCACAGTCGACGTCTGTTGAGCCGGATCTGCTAACGGAGGGGCAAACGGAGAAGGGAGGTGGTGAGATGGGCGGAGGGAAAGAGAGGAGAACTAGAGTGGTGGGGTCCTCGCGACCGACCATATCGGGGTGACGGGGGGGTCCTCGCGACCAACTCCCGAGTGGGGTAGCGAACGAACAGAAAAGGTTTTGTTTTTTTTCCCTAAATTTAAAAATTAAGATGCAATCTCCTTTTAGGGCAATGCTCTTGGCTTTATATGGTCCCAACATGTGCCAAAAAGTACTTCATAAACCTAGCATCTCTATCAGAGGTGATGATTTTTTTGGCAGGCTATGAAATTTAGTAATTTCGTCAAAGTATAAGTGTGCTATTTTAGAGGCATAAGAAGTTCTGGAATAAGAAAAAAATGTGCCATCTTAGAGAAACTACCAATAAGAACAAAAATAAAATCATACTTCTTGGGGGTTATTGGTAATCATAGTACAAAACTCATGCTCACATCCTCGCATGGTTGTTTTGGGACATTTAGGGGTTTATATCAACCTCTTGTCTAGATAATTTTGTTAACGTGCAAGTGTAACGTTGTGAGATAAGTTTCGCTACATCTCACCACATCAACAAAAACACTCTTCCATAGTGTCAATAGTTTTGTCATGTATGAAGTGTCATGTAAGCTCACCCACATGCATCTCCCATATTAGAAAATCTCTAGAGGATTGTGATATATATAGACATTGCTTTCTAAAAAAATAACATCTTAAATTATGTTGTCCTTATATTCTCTAAATGGGTGCCCATCATTGATGGCAACAATGACTGCTACACAATCTGGACACATCTAGTAAGCCTCCTTTAGCCTCTCAAAACTTGCAACCTTCAACATAAGGCATTAGTGGTCTGATTTTCACAACTAAGTATATGTTCCAGAATAAAATTATATGCTTGGTTATATTCTACTTATGTGTAGGATTAAATTTTCTTTTAGAGTTCAAAAAATAAAGAGACTCATAGTCAAAATAAAGAATGAATTTTTGTGGGAGTAATACCAAAAGGTCTGCACAAATACATGATTTAGTCTAACATCTGTGGAGTAATTGAGTATAAAATGATTTAATTTATCACTAAAATGGTCAACGAGGTGTCATTTTTGACTTAATACTCCCCTTATGCCAATCTCAAAGGCATCAGAAGCTATATCAAAGACTTCAGAAAAGTCAAGTAACCTTAGAACATGAGATTGAGTCATTTGCTCATTAATAATATTAAAAGCTTTATTGGCTTCTTTGTCCACTCAAAGACACATTATTTCATATAATTAATTAAAAAAACCATGATGGTACTAAAGCCTTTAATAAATCTGCTATAAAGCAATGTTAACTTGTGGAAGCTCATAATGCGATAAATGCTTCTAGACTCAAGTCAATTGATAATGACTTGTATTTTATGTGAGTTAGTGGAAGCCTCTAATGATGAGACTCAATCCAAGAAAGGTGATTTGATGAGTAAAGAAAAAATATTTTTGTAAGCATAACATATAATACGTCTCTCATAAGGGATTCAAAAATAAGACAAAGATATTCTAAATGATTCTCATGAGTTTAACTATAGATGAAAATGTCATCAAAATAAATCACCATAAGTTTGCTTGCAAAAGATTTCAACACATGCACCATGAGTCACATGAACATGCTAAATACATGTTAGACAATCTATATAGTATCATTATCTATTCATATAACACATCCTTAGTCTTAAAGTATGTCTTCCACTTGTCATTAAGTCTAATTCTTCCACTTGATGGTATCTACTCTTAAAGTCTATATTAGAGAAAATGTTAGACCTTACTAATATGTCTAACATAATTTTTTTGATAGCTCGCATATTTGTCATGTCCCATCATTTTTCATAGCAAGAAGTCTAGAAAATACACAAGGACTAAGAGTCTCATATATTAATCATTTTTTAAGTACTTTTGTGATTTATATCTTTAGTTTGTCATGCTCTTTAAGATAATTCATAAATGTAATAAATTAGGTAAGGATGAATCAAGTATTAAGTCAATGTCATGTTAAATGTCCTATATGAGGCGCAATTTATGGGGTAGGTCGTCGAGGAGTATATTCATATTCTCTTTTAATGTCCGCTATTTTTAAAAGTTTTATTAAATTATAATTGATATATTTATTCAGAAATACTTCTAAATATCTGAAAATTCGTATTTTCTAGTTTTATAAATTTTAAATTTATGTGATTTAATATACAACGACTAAGTCATGTCATAAGTCATCGAGGAGGATATTCATATTCTCTTTTATGAGTCAATACACTTCTAAGCATTGTTTGTGTGACAACTAGGGAGTAATCATTCACTACATTTTTAATGTAAGCAATCTAAATAGTGAAACTTATTTCTAATTCCTTTTAAAGTGTTTGGACATTAATTAAATTCAGACTAAGCTTGGGTATGAGGTTTTGAGGTTTATCTAGCTTAGAGAGATAGGGGTGCACTCAATCTTATTTATCTTGTATATGAATGAATATGGATTGAGTCTTTTTATTTGAGTGGTGTCATATCATATAGTCACATAGACTAAGTATTAAATTTTACAAAGACAATATTATTTTTGGGCAAAAATGTGAGTAGAATTTACCCATGATACATTATACAAACTAAGATAATTGATCATAACTCATCTTACTTTAATAATGACATCTTAAGAAACGACATTGATGCTACTACAATTATCTATGATGAGTTTATAAGTAACAAATTCAATTTTGATAAACATATAGAAGATAATTGTTTACTTAAGGTTTTTTTTTTACCGCTAATTAGGTCAAAATACATATCATGATTCCTAAATTCAGCCCTTTTAAAAAGGCAAAAACTATCTTCAGGTTTGCATTATACTTTCTCTAACTTTTCATTCATTTCTATCATATCTTCTTAAATATGATTGACAAATTTAGACTCATCAATATGGAGGTTATGGGTTGGGCATTGGGTTGTTACATAGTCATACCCATGACACTTAAAACAGTTCACTCTAAAGGTACTCTCTCACGTGGTTGTTCTACTAGTCATTTACCTTTGTCACGTGGTTGTTCTCACGTGGTCTTATTCATGGTAAGAATTTACAAATTTTCATGGTTAGTTTTAGTCTCTTCAATAACTTGAGTCTAGAAATGAGATGGTTGTGACTATGAGTTAATACATACAAGGGGGGGGGGGCATGTGGAAGCTATCTAAGTTAGGATCAGATAATAAACTTCTTATATTATATAAATATCTATAACAAAGTTTTTATTTATCAAATCTTCTCTCAACTTAGTTTTGAAGCGAGATATGGTGATAGTGAGATCTTCATCTACTCAACAATTAAGTAATAACTTGTTGAGTTATGTTACATAGTTAATTGCATGACAGTTGTCTTATATAATCTTTTATCATTGATTTATTAATCTTATTTTATAGTTAATATGTATATATGTTTCTCTTAGCTTAATCTTGATCTCAGCTTAATTCTCAATGGGGGGGGGGCATGTGGAAGCTATCTAAGTTAGGATCAGATAATAAACTTCTTATATTATATAAATATCTATAACAAAGTTTTTATTTATCAAATCTTCTCTCAACTTAGTTTTGAAGCGAGATATGGTGATAGTGAGATCTTCATCTACTCAACAATTAAGTAATAACTTGTTGAGTTATGTTACATAGTTAATTGCATGACAGTTGTCTTATATAATCTTTTATCATTGATTTATTAATCTTATTTTATAGTTAATATGTATATATGTTTCTCTTAGCTTAATCTTGATCTCAGCTTAATTCTCAATGGGGGGGGCATGTGGAAGCTATCTAAGTTAGGATCAGATAATAAACTTCTTATATTATATAAATATCTATAACAAAGTTTTTATTTATCAAATCTTCTCTCAACTTAGTTTTGAAGCGAGATATGGTGATAGTGAAATCTTCATCGACTCACAATTAAGTAATAATTTGTTGAGTTACGTTACATAGTTAACTGCATGACAGTTGTCTTATATAATCTTTTATCATTGATCTATGAATCATGTTTTATATTTAATAGATATATATTTCTCTCTTAACTTAATCTTGATCTCAACTTAATTATCTATGGGTTCTTAACTTATACATTCTAAAAGACGATTTGGGTTATGTCAATAAGTATTAACAAATCTCACTAACTTCGAATTGACAAATCTAATCTTCCTAGCCTTTGACATTTCATACCATCCAAACTTACTATCCATGCCAGCCTCTCACTCTAAATAAACCTTAATTCTAAGAACCCTTAAATGTGAAATCATCAACCCTGGTGTTCTTGTAAGAAGTATTGGAGTTAGGAGGATCATCATTATATCTATTCCTTACATGTTAATTATCTCTATGGAGGTTTCAAGCTCTACATTGTTTGAAGGAAAGAATTGCGTGTTGGCCAAAAGAGATGTCAAGTTATATACTGACTTATATCATGTCCATTCTATTCTAAGTGTTTTAGTTTATCATGTATTAATTTACTCCATTTGGTAACTTCTTCCTCCATCTTAGGTTCATGTTGACCCACCCTCAATTAGGTATGCATTTTTTGACCTAGTAGGCATGTGGCTGGGAATGCATATTCGAGTATTCTACAACTTAATGCTCTCTAATCGGGAGCAGTAGGGTCCCCACGAACCAACCCTATCAGAGCAATAGAGTCCTCATGACTAGCCTTACCAGGGCAACAGGTCCTTGCAACCAGCTCCTAAGAGAAGAAGGAACAAACACAAAGGATTTTATTTTTCCTTAAATTTCAAAATCCAGATTCAGTGTCCTTCCAGGGCAATGCTTCCAGCATCATATAGGCCTAACATGAGAGAAGAGAATGGCCCATGAGGTGAGAAATAGTCCATTAGTAATACAAGAATCCACCGGAGTCTAGACAGTTCCAGCGACGTCAGGATCTATGGTGGGCCTCCAGGCTTGCTTCTATTAGGCCAAGTTTGGTTCTCTAGCTTGGCCCATTAATTCTAAAATGGGCTCCAGTCATGCGTCATTTAAGCACCAAAAACTTGTAGCCAAAAAGGGCAAAAAAAAATTAGACAAGTGGATGACATCTGGATTCCCCCTTTTCTGTGGAATGAAACACTCTAACTATCACAGTACTGACTTTATAACTTGCTCACTCCCACGCTCAAGTGGGAAAAAAAAATCCCCTTTTTTCGCTGAATTATGTACACAAAAGAACCAATGGAAGAAACTGCCGACCCAGTTTAAATAGAGTGTGGATGAATGTAGTGTTTCAATTCCCTCTGGATCTCCTCTTTCCGAACCTTGGCCAGGCCCGCAATCTCTAGCTTCCTGATCCACTCCTTGCTCACATGCAGCAGCTGCCCGATCTCCTCCAACGATCGGCGTCGGCCGTCCACCATGCCGTACCTGAGCAACAGGACCTGCCGCTCCCTCGGATGAAGGCTCTCCAGAAGCTTGTCAACGTCATTCCTCATGTGCTGCCTCATTACAGCCTCCTCTGGAGTTCTGATGGTCACATCTGCCATGGTTTCCTTCACATTGCAGAAAGACAAGAGGAGGGTTTACACAGATGGACAGATTTTCTGAGATTTTTGTACATGGGATTGAAGGGTTTAGACCACATACTGCGACTTTGATGTTCAAGTCGTCTCCTCTCTTCTGATTAATAGAGCCAACAACTCTCCCACATTGGCCGGCCAACCTGACCTTGGCCAGTGATAGGCCGGTGAGCTCAGCTACATCCGCGTCTAGTGGACGTCTGTGTTTGGCCGTAGACAGGGTCCTCCTGGCTTTTTGTACCTGCTTGATGGCCTTCTCCATTGTTGCCTACCAGAGACAATGAGCAAATGGTTATCCTCTGAGGTGAAACTGTTGGCAGGAATAAACTGAAGCACAGGCCCAGAAGTAGGAACGTACAGGTATGTGGATCCCTCTAGAGTATCTGCCTACTACAGCTAGCATTGATTTCCTAATCCAATACTGAACGTATGTAGAAAACCTGTATCCTCTGCTGGGGTCAAATCTCTCCGCACCTCGCAGGACACCTATACTCCCAGCCTGCAGTATATACGGATATATGGGTCAACTTATGGCCACACCCGGGGATTAGATGCGTAGATGGTTCAACAACAGGAGTCTCAGATGAACCTGAATTAGGTCGTCAAAGGCGATCCCCATTCCTCGGTAGCTTCTGGCGAGGTAGATGACCAAGGACCGAGTACTTTTCAAGAGGCTGTCCTTGCAATACCAGCCAAAATGCAGACGCTGCTGAAGAGTCCTCTCGTCAGTTCCCGCTGCTTCTGCCCACCTTGAAAAGCTGGATGCTCTCCCTGTTCTTTCCTCCAACTCATCGCGAATTCTTTCCAATTTAGCAACGTCCTGCAGACTAAGGTAAATCAGCAAACTTCCGATTTTGGGCATTTTTATAGGGACGATTAGAAGATGGGATGATAATTACCTTAACCCCGATTGACATTTTCGATTCGTTCCTAGCAAGAACGAGTCTTTTTCTCCCGGATTTTGAACCATCTGTTCTTGGTAAACCAGTAGAAGGTGAAATGGTGTCATTTCTGTCCTTGGGTGATGACAGGACCCGCACGGGCATATCAGCATTTTCTTCTGACGCTTTCTGTCTTCTCAACTTCCTCTCCTTCTTTCTCCCTGATGGGACAACTGTATGACTGACCTGGGCATTAGCTGCGGAATCTACACCCAAATCTTCCGACCCATTAAGGGGCAAGGCCAGGTTAAGAGAAACTGGTGCGATGTGTGTTCTATAGAGACAAGCATGAAAAAGTTTCAGAGCCCCTAGTCTTTCTACTTGCATCAGAATATCCCTTTGCAACCTCAACATGTCAGAGTCAACGAGAATATCTTCAATCTCATTGAGGTTTTCCATCAGCAGGCTAAATCTCAGGTTATATGAGGACGAAGCATCCTCTGTCTCATTCTTCATCATTCCACTGGATTTGATGGAACCGACAGGCTCCCTACCAACATTTACCTGATTGAACAGAAAACATTGGCGGGCCAAAACATTTCAATCCCAGATGCAATAGAAGAACTAGAACAAACCACCCACATTCCATTCTAATTTCTGTCAATTAATCATTGGACAAGATATTTCAAAATAAAAGTATTAAATAAATGATTCGGACCTCTTTCATTTTGACACAATTGCTCCGAATGTTTTGAGGCGCTCCACATGGATTTGTATAAGATCTCAAGATCTGAGTGCGCAAAACTCCACCCTCCTCTGGAACAGAGCGTAGAATTGACACCTTGGCAGCTTCAAAGAAATTCTCCCTGATTCTCCCTGTTGTTTTCAAGACACGTCAGCACAGAAAAAAGTCAACCGCACTCGTGCCTGAACAATGACGATTGCATGATATAAATATTAAACGTGAGGAATGACCAAGTACAAATAAACAATCATGTTAATTCAACAGGCTGATTTCTTAGTGTAGGTGAAGTTCATGAGGCACCCAAAAAAAAAAGCCTGCCAGAAAAATAAGTTAACACAGAAAGAAGCATCTTCTGAATAATCTCTGAAGATAATTTCCCGTCCACATCACACGGGAACTCCTTTCGTTTCCCTTGAGGAAACTAAGTCACCCGCATGTCAACTTGTGAAATCCAGCTAGAGGTAAAGAGTGTGCAACCCACCCAGAAACCAAAGAATATCACACAGCAGATAAAGAAAAAGAAACCTAAGGCTACGCCTGAGTATCATTTTCATCCACGGTTATAGTTATACCCCCGTGCTATTGATGTGGACTAGGAGATATCCATTGGCCCGTTAATGATTCCATGGAATCGCTGAAGAGCAAGCAGTTCCAAGAGAGATTCCCATTGACCCATCTTAAAGTCTCACACTCGCCATCCTTGCCTCATATTGAACAACCGTGCGTCAGAAATAACAAGGCTGGAGGGTAGAATCCCATATCCTGCTTCCCAGATCGCTGCCTCGAGAACCAAATGGACATGGGCAACAGTTCACAGCACAACATACGAACAACCCTACTTTCCATTCCTAGATCCACTTCAAGCAATATGCTGTTCAATAAAAAAAAAAAATGGAGTCAACGCTTCGATCGATCAACTCTAAAGGCTTTGAGAGTGATTAGCCCTCCCCATCAATGGCTATATCAGAATCGAGGCTCCACGAATATGCTGTGAAGAGCAGTCTGTTGTCGTTGTATCCATCACTCAATCCACCAAGTGGATGGAATGTGAGACTGTTTAATGGTCGCTACGGCTGCCCTCCGTGGATTTCACCAAAACACCTTTCATCTTCTCCCTCCGAACCTTCTGACGGACGAGCAGCATTTCATTCTGGAAAATTACGAACGTTTCCATAATCGTTTCAAGTAATCAAGGATTTCTTCCCGTTAAAAGCAAAGAAAAAGGGCAGCAGGACGTTCTTATACAACCCCTCTTCTAGTTTTAGCAAATGCACGATCCAACCCCTGATCTACTTCGGAAGAGATGAATGGGAACTCCGGAGGCAAAGCGCGACAGACGAAGAGCAGGAATTTATAGAAAAGACTCTGGGCCCAATTGCGCCTCCAACTTACCCGGAGAAGTGGACTGCTGCTGCTGCTGCTGCTGCGGCCTGGTAGAAGGACCGGCGGGAGCAGGCGACTGGACTGGGAAGGAGCACCTCCAGTCTGCCATGAGCCCGGTCCTCATCTGCCCTTGCCCACTTCCTCATACAGCAGTACTCGCCGTCGCCGCCGTGGCTGGCTGCTCCTCTCCTCCCGTTGCGGTGGACGGAAGGTTAGCGTATCTGGGGAAATTGAATGAACAGGGGCTCCCGGGGAAGGAAAATGGATGTGTGGACGAAGGCGGCCAGGTCTTCGGCCTCCACTCGACCACCGATTCCCCATCCTGAGAGCCCAAAGCACGCCTCTTCCCCCCCGCCCCCCCCCATTTCCTCTTCCGCCCTCCACACGCTGGTGAAGACTCCGCGATAAATCAATCCCTCCTCCCTCCGGGCCCCTTGAATAACAGGCGGTTCGGGTGTATTTCCCAAAAAAAACCAATTTTTAAAACATCGCCAAAAATATCTCGTCCTGCTCTTTTCCCTCCTGATGAGTCAACGGGCTGACCGATAGTTCCGCGATAAATCGATCCTTCCCCCCTTCGGCCTTCGGGCTGACCGGCCTTGGTGGGGTGTATTTCCCGAAAAAACTAATTTTTAAAATATCATCAAAAATATCTCCTCCTGCTCTTTTCCCTCCTGATAAGTCAACGGATTGACAGACGGATTGACAGACGGATTTTTTGTGAAAATTACTGCACTAAGAATACTAATGGGCCGCATACTGAGCCCATAGCCCATTAACTGGTTTTCGGGCCTTCGGTTTCTAAAAGCTAGCCTATGCCAGACAAGAAGGACGTTCTCCTCCTACCGGTCAACTCCCAGTGTGGGCTGCGGTGGATCGAAGCTCAAGCCGGATACCATAATGAGCCAATGGGCCCCTCATGATGAAAATTTCTCGGCCCAGGAAATCGTCGTGTCAAATGGGCCTGTCCCAAGTAAGCCCATTAGAGAGCCCAGCCGCCAGCTGTCCCAGATACCTGAGATGCTTCTCCTCCGTTAACGCCATTAAACCCGGTATCACCTCTCAGACACCACTTCTTTTACCATAAAGAGAACGACCCACATATTTAGAGAGAGAGAGAGAGAGAGAGAGAGGATGATGTGGACGAGACAAACTGGGTTTCCTTCGAACAGCGGCTCGTGTACGATGCCTGTCCTGAGCCCAACAGCCGGCATGCTAAAAATGGCAGGCGGCTGTCGGCGGAGAGGAGAACCGAACTCCGCGGCCACACCGACACTGTAGCCACGTGCCGGTAACTTACCCGCTTTTCCCGGTCAAAGGTGCACCTCAACAGCCGCGAAAACTCTGGTACGCCACTTGCAGTTTCCCAACAAAGTAAATGCGAGATCGTCTAAATGGGCCCGGTCCAGACAGCAGACCCATTGGACCACTTTTCTCTGGGCCCGTCCTTTACTGGGCCCGGCATGAATTTTCTCCGAACTTTTCATGTAAGACCGTAATAATATTATTAATTAATAAATCAATTAATATTTAATCTGCGTGATCCAATAAAATTAAAGATAAAAAAAAACTCGCCCGCAGAGAGGGAACCTGCTACCAAAATACCGGCCGACTGCTCTCGCAGCACCTGCGACTACGATTCTTCCTTTTTCGCTTCCCGAGATTTTCTGTCGTTTTCCCAAAGCCGCCGCTCCCTAGCTGATATGCCTGACGCGTGGAGATATTTCTTTTTTAGACGGCTCGTACGTTCTGCGCCTTCGCCGCCCACCGCTTTCTGCCCCCGTAGTGGAGCTTCACGCGGGTTTCGCCAGCCTTAGGTCAGGACTCGCTTATGCTCACCGTGGTGGGAAATTTATGGCCTGGGGGTCCAAGGATCACGTGACTGCGTTTAATGCAGCCGTGGACTTGCAGTAACGCCTTATCTATTCATGGGGGTGGGGGGGCTCTTGCCCAGAAACCTTGGATCGGATAGGATTTTCAATATTTAACTAATTTTGTTACCGGTGAGATCTTTTTTTCTTGTGTTATTTTCAACGCGTCGATTAAATATTCCGGTTTTCCCATTCCCCCCCGGCGATTATATGACGATAAATCATTTCTGGGAATAGAAATAATTTTGTTGGGCGACACCCACCTGTCTTGATGTTAACGGGGCAAAGTCAATGAGTGAGGATTCGATGCGGGTCAACTCCGAAGTTGCAAAACGTCGCCGCGAAAAAATGGGACGTTACTTCGCGAGAGGTGGTAGTTGAGACTTGGGATTTTGGTCTCGGCGGCAGAGTCTCTCTCAAGAGGTGATAATTTTCGTTTATCAGACGAAAATAAGAAGTAAAATTTTGGAGGCGTCGGTTAACTGGGCTCGGCTGGGCTTTGAGGAGACTCGGCCCGCGCCCCGTTAACACCATAAATCCCAATAGAAAAAGGAATAACGCAAATGTTTAGGAGACCTCAGAGTGGTCACCATCAGCTGTTAGAATTTTGTCATCTTTCGAGGTCCTCTCTCTCTCTCTCTCTCTAACCTCTCTCTCTCCTGGCTGCTCTTACTCTCTACCTCTCGTCTCTCTCTCTCTCTGTGACATCGAGACGTGTCCCGAAAATAAGCTGCCGCCCCACTAGCCGCGTTCTTCTGTCTCCACGTGTCAGCCACGCGTCTCATCATGGGGAGAGCATCTGTCTAACGAGGAAGAGCAAGAGATGTATACGTGGCAGGATCTGTATAGTCCGACAGCGTCCTTAAGCATGCACAGGTATCCAGACTCCCGACATTATCGATTTATCGGTGGGGAGAAAACCACTCAAAATATCGCGCCCCTGATTTCTCGCCATAGTATCCACAGTCCGTCACCGCCTGTGGAGATACAAACGGCGTCAAGATTTTCGTCGTCTGTGGGTAGTCTAACTTAACCATGGTTGGCATGGGGGTTCAAATAGCGGGACAGTCCAGAACCTTCTGGTTCTTTTAAGACGCCAGCAGGAAGAAGAGAGCCCGTCGGAGGAATAAGCGAAGAATAGAGAGGAAGAAGATGATGATCGGAGAAGGACACCGTGCTCTGCCGGCGATCCACATCCCGCCATGGCCGGCGTACGAGGAGGCGGCAGGAGGGGTGGCCTATTCGCTGCCTGTCAGCGGCGTCATCAGCGGAGCCGGCGATGGAGGGAGCTGCTCCTCCCCATACCTGTTCGGTGAGGGGGCGATGGCCGCTCTTCAGCGATTCCTTCCGTCAAATGAATCATACCTCTCAGATGATGCGGGGGACGAGTCCGATATCTCGCTGGCGCCGCCGGTGGATGCGTACTCCTGCGATGAATTTCGGATGTACGAGTTCAAGGTGAGGCGGTGCGCAAGGGGACGGTCGCACGACTGGACGGAGTGCCCCTACGCGCACCCCGGCGAGAAGGCGAGGCGGCGGGATCCTCGCAAGTACAACTACTCCGGCACCGCCTGCCCCGATTTCCGCAAGGGGAGTTGCAAGAGAGGAGATGCCTGCGAGTTCGCACATGGAGTGTTTGAGTGCTGGTTGCATCCGACGAGGTACCGGACCCAGCCTTGCAAGGACGGCACGGGCTGCCGCCGCCGCGTGTGTTTCTTCGCCCACACGGCGGAGCAGTTGAGGGTGCTGTCTCAGCCTCAGCAGCAGCAGCAGCAGAGCCCGAGGACGGCGGTGGGAACGGACTCCTACGATGGATCCCCGCTGCGGCACCAGGCGCTCGACGCGTGTTCCAGGAGCTTGCTCAGCTTCCCCACGTCGACTCGGCACTCGCCCCCCATTTCGCCGCCGTCTGACTCGCCGCCCTTATCCCCCGAAGGCCGCTCCCCCGTCCGGATCTCGGTGCCATTGTCATCATCGGTGAACGATATTCTGGTTTCCCTCAGGCAACTGCAGCTGAACAAGGTGATGTCCTCCCCGAGCTCCTGGGGGTTGCAGACCCTCGGCATCGGCTCCCCCCGAGGGTTCAACGTGAGCCCCGCCTTCTCCAGCCTTCCCGCGACCCCAAATCGCGCATCGCCGGCGACTCGAGGGGTGCTGTTCGATGGTTGGGACGGCCCTACGGAGCGGGTGGAGTCGGGGAGAGATCTGAGAGCCAAGATCTACGAGAAGTTGAGCAAGGAGAACTCGCTGGATCGGCAGGAAGAGATCGAATCCGGTGGGCCTGGCGGGGCGGTGAACGTGAACCCTGATGTGGACTGGGTTTCCGAGTTGGTGAAGTGATCGCCGGCGGATCCGAGGTAGGAGGGCGGGAGTGTTCCGGCGTGCTTTTGTTGAAAGAAAATGCCCAGCTTTTCTGCAATCTGTACATACTGGAAGCGTAGGTATATTGTGTTGCAGGGTGCGCCAGGGAGGAGGAGCCTCAAGGAAAGCCCGGCGGCCACTATTTCGAAGATCCTTCTTAAAGGCTAGCTATATATCTAGAAATCATCATGTATTATCTGTATTTATCATCCTTTTCAGATCTGATCTGTGTTCATATTTTTTTCTCGCCTTCGGCTTGAGAGATGACTCTGAGAACCTGCGAGGAAATCCCTCCAATGCTCTTGTAATATTTCTTCCAATTAACAGAATATGTTCATTGCCTTTTTTCATTCTATGATCTCACGTCTTCGTCTTTCCCCGGGGGCGGAGGAGGCTGGAGATGAAGCATATCCTCCATGGTTGACCCCGCTTCTCATCTCCCTTGATGGAGTCGTCGATGGCGACGAGTGAGTGAACCCATGAAAGGGGCCGGCACTGGAAAAAAAACAGCCTCTTTGGCCCTACCCAGGAAATGAACCACAGAGAGAGAGAGAGAGAGAGAAGGTAAACGATGACTCCATTAGCGCACAACACCCACCCACCAGACGCCCTTGAATAATCGAAGCACGAAGGAGGGCTCTCGCTCTCTCTCTCTCTCTCTCTCTCAGGTGGCAACATGTTTGAATACATGTTGCCACCTGAGGGGGGAACACGGAACCCGCTGACGGGTAGATGAAGCAGTGCGACTTGCCGCCTGGGCCGCGGAGAGATACGTGGCTCCGACGCAACCGTCGCTTTCAGGAGGCTACTACCAGGCCCACGGCCTCCAATTATTATTGCTGCTGAGCCCACACGCACCCACCTTCTCTATATGCGCCTTCCCCTGGTGTAGTGTCGAGGGGGGACGACGAATTCGGGTTGGGGACGGAGATGGCCAAGAAGAACTGGTCCCACTTTGAACCAGACACAACCCCATCAATCATCCTACGTTAGCGTCACTCCCTACTGGCAGCACATACTGGAGAGGCTAGGCTATATACGGCACACCATCAATAAATCCAGAACCCAAAGTCTGTTTCACAGGTAATTATCAGGGACTTTGTAGCCATGTATGTATATTATATGTGCATATGGAAATCTTCGTACCTCCACAGAAGCAGCGCTGATGGGAACCGCAAGGGGGGGGGAGGGCAGGGCTTTACTTCTTCAGTACACTGCAATTGAGAAATCATCGTCACCATTAGTCAACGGGGTCAGCGGCAAACATCACCTCTCTCTCTCTCTTCCCCGGACTCAACTTGAGCTAGGCCTTGTTGGAGAAAGAGATGATGAGAGGCTGGAACCGAGTTCATGAAGAAACGAGGGGGCCAATGAAAGCACGCATATTCAGTTATCTTGGTCAGAGGAATTAAGGCATCTGGGGTTGGGAAGATCCGAGGAAAGGTCAAAGGTTGGGTTTGTGCGAGTTTCCTGAGCCGACTTTAGGAAAACTAAGCACTTCATCCTAATCCTCGTTGACTTTGTGCGCATGTGCTTGAATTCCACTGATTCTTCATCACCTGTCCCCGTGATTGGCCAGCCTGTCATCACGGAAGAATCTGTTTCTCCTCTATTAGGGGAGGGGATCTATCAAGCTGGGCCTTCATCAAAGACAGGAACGCCTTCAGATGGTAACAACCCATTTTCTGGGTCAAAGAACCGGGTCAAAGAAGAGACTTTTGAGATTACGTGGACTGAAGAGCCATGCTATAAAGGCATAGTTGGAGTGACGCTTTGGTCATGCAATCGGATGGCCCAGATGAAAGATCGACCCGACTAGGTTAATTTTTTTAATAAAATATGATCAAAATGAGAAATGAATGGTCTCATCAGAAGGAAGAACAACTTACTTATATAAGTAGGCAGCAATTCCCAAGATAATGCACAGGAGGATGATGTCAATGCAAAAGTTGCGGCTAGATCTCATCTGATAGAGGAAAAGGATCCATCACAAGAAATTATGGGGGAAAAAATATCTAAAACTCCAAATGGCTGAAGAATTCATTCGTCTCCTAATTACCCGGTGAACAGTCTCCTTCAGTCTCACATTAGTATTCTTCAGATCGGCGGTTGCCCTATCCACCTGCAATTGGGGAGAAACTCTTTTAATTTTTTGTCCAAGAAGTCTGGATGGCGGGAACAGGAAAGAAAAAACAATCACAAAAAAAAATAAAATTACGACCTTGGTGTCAATCTCGTCCATCAATGGAACTTGCCTGTCTAATTCCTGCAGTAAATCGGATGGTCAAAGGAAGTTCTTTAGGTTACATACTGAATCATATAAACAACAAACCTCATTCATGTCATTAGCCATGTTTTTGAGGGTATCCAGTCCTTCTGCTATAGCATCCAGGCCTTGATCCTGCTCAGAAAATTGCCGTTACATTCACTAGTATCGACTGGTTAATCTGGGATAACAATGGTATGAGAAGTAACTCACTATGGCCTGTACTGCCTGGGCACAAGAAAAATCAAAGGTAATTTTGTTCCTTGAAAATTCTACATGGTATACGTCGTATCTAGTTTTGAGCAAGTGTAGGCGAGGGCCTGATGATTACATATCGGTTAAATAATGACTCAGGCCAGATGCTTAGCCAAATCACTGTTCGAAAAGACTTTGAACGATTTCATGCGGAAAAGAAACTTCAAGCAGGAGATGTGCTTTCATCCCACTTCCACAACTGCTACTATGATTGATCTCCATAGTAGCTCTATGTGCTACAAAATCTTCCAAGCACTGGTTTTAAGTGTGGGTTTAAGAGCGCGTGGAGACACAATTTAATCCTTCAAACCTCACAGGGAAAAGGAAAACTATACTTCACTAGAATCACTCCCGTTCCGTATCGCATGAAAACCTTCAAACTGATTCATTCGGGAACAAAATTTAAGAAACTTATTAATGGAGTTTCATATTCATTGTGATGCCCCTTTGCGTAGAACAGCGCAAGGTTTGAGAAACAATAGAAATCTGTCTATAACTGTACGAAAGTTTATTTTACTCAACGAACATGATACTAATTTAATACGATCACAAGGCCAATGCTTGCCTGTTTCAATTTACGCATCTCATATTCTTGCCTAAATTGGTTCGATTCTTCCGTCCGCTGAAAGTACTCACTCTCGAACTTACCATCTGCAATGAATTCGAAGAAAGGAAAATTAAAAAAAAAAAAGCGTAAACCACAGTAAGTTGCATATGAGCATATATGCACCTTTTGAAAATGGAGAAGTAGATACCCCTAATTCCAAATTCCTTAGGGTCTTAGACGAAATGGCAATATCAAGTCTGTGGACGGGCAGTCAAAGCCATCATTAAATAGCAACCAAATGCTTACCCGTACCAGTACTGGAATCGCTAATCTTCTCAGTTCCTAGATGTACTTAACAAAAATTACATACTAGATCTTCTTCACTGTAGAAAATTCCTGCTACACATTTTTTTTTTTTCATGAGATTGCCTCGTTCCCCATATTCCAGTCGTCCTTTTGGGGATTTTTACAATAAATGAGAGAACAACATTTAATTGATTTCTCCAGCGACCCATTGACCTGAATGCCAGACCACACCCGTCTTGCCTAACTGTCTTATCACCCATCTCCTTTATGAATTGGCTATATCTAAACGTATCCTATGAATTCCAACAAAATGACAGCAAGGTAGTTTCTGATCTTTTTATTAAGCTGAAGGATTTTGTCCCCCGATCTTGGCACCACAACGATCATGCTTTCCTCACCTGTGAGACTATCAATAATTTAGTGTTTCATCCCGTGAATACCATCAAAAGGGGAACCGATTCCATGCATAAAGCATTCTCAAGATTAAAAATCTCACGTACCAGACCATATCTAAAATGAAGAAGATTTAGTATGCAGTTGTGTCAAGAGTCTTCACTCATGCTCTGGGAGAAATTCGAGAAGAAATGTAGGAAAACCAAAATAGGAATGTAGGCGAGCGAGAGAAACTGCGTAACAAAATGGAAATAGCATACGAAGTAATCCATGTAATTAATGATTCATAGCGATTTCCAATAAGAATTTCGAAAAAAATTACCTGATGTGGAATCAACCCTGATTTCTGTGTGAGACGATGAAGCTGAAGCTGACCAACGGCTAGTCTGTTTTACAGCACTTGTTGTCCCATCGGGTATGGATTGGATCCTTTCAGGAAGTGCAAGGACTAAATCATTCCGCGCAGCAAGCTCTTCCTTTGAAACTCCCTTAACCTGTGATATGTTCGCAAAAAGGGTTTATATAGGATACGCTGAATCCTAAGATTTTAAATGGCGACTTCAAAGATGGTCAGGTGATCACGAAAAATACAAAAAATATCAGCACAGCACATCACACTGAAAAACAAAAAATAATCCAAGCATTGCTATATCACTGCAAGAAGAATTTTTTCAAGAGATTGCACATTTTCTAGAACAAGATATACACTATCTCCCAGTATGCTACAGTACACAGTGGAACCAGACATCTCCATAAGAAGCACCCAAGACATATTAAATAAACATAATTACGATGCAGACATCAGTCAGTTGAGTTAAGGAAAGAACAGAAATAGGATGTATCAATAACCTTGACATCATAAATTCCCCGGTGCAGAAACCGTGACAGAAAGTGTACATTTCTTGGAAAGAAGAAGAGTTCAGTGAAGGAAGTTGGAGGGGGGTAACGTATCCAAAAAAAAATATAAGGCAGTAGTTTGAGAAGAATCCCCAATAATACTAACACTAGAAATCATCATCACTGACCTCAACCAAAAAAGCTATTTCGCAAATAAAGAAGTTAGTTTCCAATGTGTTTTGCAGTATTAAAAGGGTAAGATATATTTGACAGTCCGATGCACTGTAAAAGATGTATAGAAGTAGAGTGATTTGTTAGAAAATCCTGGGAACAGAAGCATTTGTACACCAGCACTTTTTGAGCACGGTGATTTCCACAAGAAAATGTCTAATCAGGAAGAAAAGAGAAAGGAAAACTTATGCAATAACTCTAAAAAAAAATCTTCCCAAGATGGATTAACAGACCGAAATATGATCTATTGAAAATGCATTGTATTCGGGTTCCTAGTCAGAATATTATTATTTTGCATGGATAGGCACCAATCGTACGTGAGCCCTTATCACACCAAGAGAGAGTAAAACTGAGAAAGAGTAAGAGATCAAGGCTGAGGAAAAGAGAGAGAGAAAAAGAGAGAGCTATGCGGATCGAAGTTCTTCCCAAACTTCTGGATCATAATGTGGCGTAACACAAGTTAAACAAGAAAAAGATCCAAAAAAAAATCCCATGGATTCAAGGTAGACCACAATTATTGATGTCGCCCGTGAAACAAGAGGAGATAAAAAAGGGAGTCAATAATCTCGACCTGTATTCATCCCCCCAAGAAGAGTTAACTAGTACACACTATAGTCATAAAATGGATACATCTCCGATAGCCCATTTGCACACATTTTCTTGAGAACTAAGGGATTTCCAAGCATATCTCAAACCCAATTGACCCACCGACCATCACCGTGAGAATTGAAAATTTATGTCTTCAGCCAAACTTTTTCTCCTATTTATGATTTTGGTTATTCCTGCCTCGTTAATATATGCTGTGTTTGTCCAGGTTGCACTAATATACCCAATGCGTTCTGAGCTGTCTGAATTTTCCTATTAAATCTATCTCCAACTCTACTTTTTGATCTAAACATATTGAGAGCCTTGATGAACAGATCTTAAGGCATTCATAGATTCACAAACAAATGATAAAGACGAATGGAAAAACTATAGTTATTTGATACAGTCAAGAACAATATTACTGATGGAAAAGGACCAAAGTAATACAAGAAGGTTGAAGGCAAGATTCAATCTTCCCAAAGCTTAAAGTCCTTTGAGAACGGAAAAACTCTAAAGGAATGTTCTCAAAGCATATGCATCCCACGGGGGGAATGCAGAGGAAAGAAGAGAAAGTCCACCTGAAACCCAAAAACACCATGGAAGGCGTTTTAATAGATATACTGCAAGTAGACCACGGAGAAAAACACTGTCACCAGTATAAACATAAGGTGAATGTGATCTAAAAATTCCTGCGTGTCATCCACAAAAGTACTCATAATGGTGACGATGTTAGAATCGAATCCTCTTGGTGCAGACTATGAACGTGTTTTATGGATGTTTTTTGAGAGTACAGTGAACATACACTGGCGTACCCTCTACTTTTGAATGGGAATGAATATATGTTATAGAAAACAATTGAACCATCGGAGAATTTTCCTGAAGAGGAAATTAGGAGTCGTAGCAATGTAACTACTGGGTACGGGTAACAACAATTAGAGGAAAACGCAATTAACACCTAGGAAAGGCCAAACTAATCACACGCCGGGACATGAGTTCCTGGGCTGGTGAGATATTCCGTCTCAATACAGTGGTCATAAAACGCAGCCCAAAAGAAGACGTTGAATTGAAGAGTGCCGACCTTCTTAAGTGCGAGCCTCTGTAACTTCGGAACCTCCTCAAGCAACCGCGCCTTAGTCCGTCGGATTTCAGCGTTCATGGCCACGGCGGACGCCCGGTTCTTCTCCTTGGACGCCAATTCCGCTTTCTGAACACATCGATCGAATTTAGGAAACGAAAATATCATGCGAGGGGCGCCTGAAAATTGACCACGGCGACCGGAATAGCATGAGCGACATGAGAGGCAGGCAGATGAAAAGCTGCACCTGAAGCGCTCCCTCGATGTCGTTCTCCACATCGATGAATAGGCGGGCGAAGGCATCGTCCCCGGAGACGTTGAGATCCCTTTGCTTGTCGACGTCGTACTTATCGTACTTCTTGCAGATCGCATCGACCCGCGTGAGGATATCTATCACGCTCATCTTCGATTATCCTCCCTCTTCCCGCCTTTCTAGCTCTCTCTATCTCTCTCTCGCTCTCTAACCCTCCATCGTCGACGCTGCAAGCTACAGACGGGGTCGAAAAGGGAGGAGCTTCGCGGGAAAGGTGCTCGGCGGTCCTCCTCTCCTGCCTACGCGGGGAGAAGAAACTGGCGGCACGATCAGACGAAGTCGTTGCGAGGCTGAAAGCTCAGTTAGGCCCAGTTCATCAGAGTGGACCAGCCCATACTTTGATGGGCCCCGCCTGTAAATTCACATCCCCACCGCGGTCGGGCCACGTGGACTGCTCCTCTCTCTCTCAAACTTTGTTTCCCGCGGACCGGCTAGCCACGGTGGGTCCCTGTGGGCCCCAGTAGCGCCCGCCCGTTGACATACATACCACCTAGTGGATAAATAGATATCACCTTATTGAAAGAGATATCCGGTGACATGGACGTGACCCGTGGAGTCTCAATCTTGTTTGCTTGCTGTTTGGGCATCGATTCGCCACCGTTCACGTGGGGTCAGCCAGTTGGAGTTGACTCCAGCAGCTTCTCCCCGATTTTTTCTCCTATTTATGAATAGACATTGAATGGGACAATAGTTGTAAGGTTGGGCCATAATATAATTATCTCCATGCTACCCAAGTTTCAAAGCGCTCTACCACTTTGGTACTCGCATATAATTATATTAGAACACGAGGTTGAAAAAGAAGAAGAATAAGTTCAAGCTCACAGTGGCACCACTATTGGCAGCATTCTCTTTGCTGGGCATGGACCATGGTGGAGGTAGCTATGGTGGAGAGAGTAGTGGATGAGATACTTTTAACCCTAAACTAATCACATCAAAAATGAACCAAACAGCCGTATGGTTTTCAAATAGGGCCGTTTAAATGGAGATATTAGATTGATGGGCTATTAAGCTTATAAAAAAAATGTAGTCATAACAGGATATTGAGATAGATGTAATTCTCGGTGAAATAATCTTAGATATTGTTCATCTCAAATTGGTCTATTCTAAGAGAAAAATTATCATATCCCTCTATCACTCTTTTTTTATCTCTCTATATATGAGTGTTGTATGTACTCAACTTGAACTCAAGGTAGTGTTACTAGAATTTTACCTTGTCTAAATATGTGGTCTTATTTAGGAGTCCACTCTCTTTGTATCACTTTCTCTTAATCATAAATGTGGTCTATCAAATCAAAATTAGTGTCACGTTATTTAAATTTATCGATGTGAAAATAGAGTTCTTCGAGATGAAGTTAGAGGAGCAATGTCAAGATTTTCTCATTATCTATCAAGATGTCATAGGATAAGTTTAAAATTTATCATTCTCAAAAAGATCACACCATATTATTGATAAACAACAAAGAGACCCCCCAAGATCTCAACAATCAAACAGTAGTTGAAATATTTAATTCTCACCCTTGAAGATCTGTATCGATAGCCAAACATTTTCTAGGCCATGGTCATGTTGATAGAGCTCACACGTATCACATAGACAATCAGTCTCTAAGTGAATTGAGTCAAGACCAACCCACTCAACTCCAAAGAGGCCAAATACTTAGGCCTTAACAACTAGTATAATATCTGTTGTAATGATCATCATAAGCCAAGATGAGCCACAATTAACTCATCACATCCCTACATGATGTTGTGGCAAGGGGGTTGGAAGTTATGTTCCTATTCAATGGTTAACATCTAAATAATTAGATCTTCTAAGTATAACTTCTTCTTTTTTTATGTACTTACTCTCAATAGTCAAAAACTCACTATCATAGGCATTTATCAATAACGAAAAACTCTTACATTGCATAAATAAATAAATGCATGTGAATTCTTTAATGATTGATAAGATTTTCAATGTCAATCTTAGTTTGTGACTTGTCATTGCTTCCTTGGTTGCTTCATTTATACCATATATTGCCACTAAAATAGTGATAGTTTAGAGCTATATTTGTATCTCCTCACACACATAAAGGAGAAACAATGATCTATACACTGTCCATGATAAAATTTGTGAATGTCCCCTCAACACGACCTAACTCTACCTCTAATTAACCTTGTGACCTTAAATAAAGGGTGGGAGTACAACATTTGATGGCTAAGAAAACTTATCTATGTCAAAAATGATTGAGATGTCTTCAACATCTACAAAGTCTTCATGTAAGCCCTCTAAACCTTATTGAGAGTTGCCTAATATATCCTCTAAATTTAAACTCACTATCAGAAATCTCCTTAAGTAGAGTGAGTTTATAGAAGTGGTCTTAATAGGAAAGAGAAAACTAGATCATATTTTTTAACCAAGGCTAGTACATACAGATCCACAATTTAAATTATGAAATGAATATGATGCAATCATAAAAAATCTGAATTTGTAATACAATGATATTAGAAGTGAATATAAATTACTTATTTTTACCCACGTCAAAAAGTATTTAAGAGCAAATAAATTAAGCATTCTCAAAAAAGGAAGATGATACCGAGATATACAAAGTTATCATCCAAACTTCTATTGTGACAGAAGATAGTAAAATAGTCTGAGAATTTTTAAATGAATTAATAGCCTTATGATAGAAAATCAATCATTGTAGACCTATCATCACTAAATGTCATACATATTAGGTTTTTTTTCAAGAATATATAGAGAAAGATGATTTATTTATTTTTATAGAGACTAAATTATGTATATGATCAAGACAAGTTTCAAATTTTGAGAAGATAAAAAATCTAAAACATAATAGAAGTCACTGACATCATCAAAAAATAAGGAGAGCCATACAAATCTAAAATAAATAAAAAAAACATTTGTGATTCAACTAAAATTATCACGTGGTCTAACCTAAAAATAACAGAGGATAAGGGACAAAAAAAGTGGTTATCAAGATAATTTATGGTGTACTTATTGTAGGTGAGAGAGGCATATTAAGGAGTATTATTACAAGTTTCATGGGAGACCTCAAGTTGGTGGTCAAGCCCACTTGATCACCTCCCAAATAAAATGTATGGCATTAACCCTAAGGGGTTAGATGAGCTCGTCTAGTTCTCAAACTCTAGAGACACCTATGTCCTCAGAGGTCAACACTAAGTAAGAGACGAAGAGTATTAAAGACCCTCACAATTGGGTGAGTCATCACAAAGTATAAAGAAAAATCCATAAGCATGCTTAGGTGAGAGCACTCTCGGGAGGAGCCTCTTTAGCTTGCTCCAATGAGAAAACTTACTCAATAATGTTACAAGTTACATCTAATGATTTTCTTACCTCTTAGATATTAAATATAAATGTCATTGATCAGCCATAGTGTTTAGCTCCAACGCCTCTTTAGCTTGCACCAATGAGAAAACTCACTCAATAATATTATAAGTTACATCTAATGATTTTCTTACCTCTTGGATATTAAATATATATGTCATCAATCCCATGATCTATTCCCCAAAAAAAAATTTATCATATAACCTATGTCCAAATAATAAAAAATGACCACAATTGATGGATCATTGATTATTATTTTAAGAATTAAAGAAGTAAAATTATAACATATTGACATTTTTAAAAATATACTACATGTTACTAAACTCTATACTAACTTTATTTATGTCAAAATGTTAGTTATAGATATACCTTGTCAAATGATAATTAATAGTGAGATTTGTGATGTATATGATAAGGCAACAAACATGAGCATTTGATGTGTTAGATATTAGGATGTACTCTATTATCTTGAAACATCATATCATGATTTCATTGCGCGAAGTTAAAAGATCATTTAGAACATAAAACTTTAGTTTTAATTAACGATGATGTTTTGTGATTGTATAATCACCATTTAAGACATCATTCTTTTAAAATAATAATGTTTATGTTTCCAAACTTATTTTTGTATAAAAATTTAGAAAAATTGAAATATCATATGTGAGATATTACAAAGTATAAGAGAAATATATATCCATTATCTACGGAGAAAGCACCTCTCCTTTTACTTTAATCTATAGTAACATTTGGAGACCATCACCTACTCTTAGTATATTAAGAGTTAGATGGTATGTTATTTTTATTAATTATTTTAAAAAAAATACTTAGATTTGTGTATTAAATTATAAATAAGAAGTGTTTAGAAAAAAATCACTCATTAAAAATCAATTTTAAATAAAAATAAAGTGATTTAAATTAAGCAATAGAAATGATTTCTTTAATCATACTATCACATGATAGTTCTTAAGTAAATAAATTATACGAGTTATCATACATTAATATTCCATGACAAAATAATGTTGTGGAGAGAAAGAACTGACATATATTAGAAGTGACTATATCACTTTATTCTAAATGAAAATGTCAAAAAAAAATTAAATGATTTAAGGTGAAGTTATACTCACATATGTTCATCTTATTAATAAACTATTCATCAAGGTTTAAAATTTTAAGAGCCTATAGAAGGCCCTCTCTAGATTCTACCCTCAAATTTCACTAAAGAATAATTTAGTTCTTAAAGTATTTGGGTACATTATAAACTTAATCCACATGTTGTTATGTGTGTTTATTGATTACTCAAATACCAAAATGGATATAAGTGTTATTGTCTTTCACTGAAGAGTTTTTTTATTTCTAAAGACATAACCTTTCATAAATATGAAATTTACTTTGATTTGATTGTTATTAAGGGAGAAAACTCTTGCAATATTATGAAATAAAAAAATAAAAATGTGAATAACTTAATATTACCAAATATACATCTCAACGTACCCATGTGATCCAAAGAAACATCAGTAGTATCATAAGAGAATGATGATCAATCTGACCCCATAGATTATCTTGATCAGGCACAACCTATAAAGGAGATTGAAAATAATGAGAATGAGGAATCATTAGTGTCATTAGAAAATGATGAGGAATTACCCATAGCTCTTAGGAAATAAAAGAAAGTGTATTAGAAATCTATAGTATTTTATCTGTAATTTAATATCAAATGAACACCCATCACCCTCATATAGAATTTTTT